ACACATATTTTAAAGTTATGGCCCCCTTAAAATTATTCGTTAGATTAAGAAAGTGGCCGAAACGCTAAGCGTGTTAATAGCTATACAAGAATGTAAAAAATCAATGATATGTACCCTCATAAACCCAATGTACGTTCTTGTATAAATAAATAAATAAATAAATAAATAAATAAATAAATAAATAAATAAATAAATAAAATGTAGAGGTCATCATCCGTGTTTGAGATATCCGGGAGGCAATAACGGGTGTAATAATAATAATAATAATAATAATAATAATAATAATAATAATAATAATAATTTGTCCTCTGTAGGCATCATCCGAGGCGCTGACATCTGTCAGAGCACATGGGGACTGAATAGCCTCAACCTGAATTGTCCGAAGATCCCAACATTCAGAGTGTTGATGCGAAGTCCTTTTATTGTTACAAGCACCTGTCTTGTTTCTACATTGTCGTGCTTGCACCTTTCCGCTGTTATGACATTGGGGCATTCTAAGAGCCTGTTTGTATTGATTAAGATTCATATATGCTCCCGTATTTTACTTTAACATGCATTGTGCATTTCTTTCCACCTTTTGCAGTGAGAGGATTAATTCATTAGATCCCCCGCCTGTTATTAATTTCACGGGAGACATCTCCCGTCACGCAGGGTGCAGTCGCACCTCCACAGATCTCCAGTATCAGCTCTTGATACTGGTAATGGCTCAAAAGGGCCACCACTTACGGGCTATTCATGCCCGTGCCACCTTTTGGGTGGCTTAGTATTAACTATCAGTATTAACTTAGTATTAACTGAATACTAACTTAGTATTAACTTAGTATTCAGGAAGTATTAACTATCCTGCAGGAAGTATACACTATCCTGCAGGAAGTATACACTATCCTGCAGGAAGTATAAACTATCCTACAGGAAGTATACACTATGCTGCAGGAAGTATACACTATCCTACAGGAAGTATACACTATGCTGCAGGAAGTATACACTATCCTGCAGGAAGTATACACTATGCTGCAGGAAGTATACACTATGCTGCAGGAAGTATACACTATCCTGCATTAAGTATACACTATCCTGCATGAAGTATACACTATCCTGCATTAAGTATACACTATCCTACAGGAAGTATACACTATGCTGCAGGAAGTATACACTATCCTGCAGGAAGTATAAACTATCCTACAGGAAGTATACACTATGCTGCAGGAAGTATACACTATGCTGCAGGAAGTATACACTATCCTGCATTAAGTATACACTATCCTGCATGAAGTATACACTATCCTGCAGGAAGTATACACTATGCTGCAGGAAGTATAAACTATCCTGCAGGAAGTATAAACTATGCTGCAGGAAGTATACACTATGCTGCAGGAAGTATACACTATCCTGCAGGAAGTATACACTATCCTGCAGGAAGTATACACTATGCTGCAGGAAGTATAAACTATCCTGCAGGAAGTATAAACTATGCTGCAGGAAGTATACACTATGCTGCAGGAAGTATACACTATCCTGCAGGAAGTATACACTATCCTGCAGGAAGTATACACTATGCTGCAGGAAGTATTAACTATCCTGCAGGAAGTATAAACTATCCTACAGGAAGTATACACTATGCTGCAGGAAGTATACACTATGCTGCAGGAAGTATAAACTATCCTGCAAGAAGTATACACTATCCTGCATGAAGTATACACTATCCTGCAGGAAGTATACACTATGCTGCAGGAAGTATTAACTATCCTGCAGGAAGTATACACTATCCTGCATGAAGTATACACTATCCTGCATGAAGTATACACTATCCTGCAGGAAGTATACACTATGCTGCAGGAAGTATTAACTATCCTGCAGGAAGTATACACTATGCTGCAGGAAGTATACACTATGCTGCAGGAAGTATACACTATCCTGCAGGAAGTATACACTATGCTGCAGGAAGTATACACTATGCTGCAGGAAATATACACTATGCTGCAGGAAGTATACACTATCCTGCAGGAAGTATACACTATGCTGCAGGAAGTATACACTATCCTGCAGGAAGTATACACTATCCTGCAGGAAGTATAAACTATGCTGCAGGAAGTATACACTATGCTGCAGGAAGTATACACTATCCTGCAGGAAGTATACACTATCCTGCATGAAGTATACACTATCCTGCATGAAGTATACACTATCCTGCATGAAGTATACACTATCCTGCATGAAGTATACACTATCCTGCAGGAAGTATACACTATGCTGCAGGAAGTATTAACTATCCTGCAGGAAGTATACACTATGCTGCAGGAAGTATACACTATCCTGCATTAAGTATACACTATCCTGCATGAAGTATACACTATCCTGCATGAAGTATACACTATCCTGCAGGAAGTAGACACTATCCTGCAGGAAGTAGACACTATGCTGCAGGAAGTATACACTATGCTGTAGGAAGCATACACTATCCTGCAGGAAGTATAAACTATCCTGCAGGAAGTATAAACTATCCTGCAGGAAGTATTAACTATCCTGCAGGAAGTATACACTATGCTGCAGGAAGTATACACTATCCTGCATTAAGTATACACTATCCTGCAGGAAGTATACACTATCCTGCAGGAAGTATAAACTATCCTGCAGGAAGTATACACTATGCTGCAGGAAGTATACAGTATCCTGCAGGAAGTATACACTATGCTGTAGGAAGCATACACTATCCTGCAGGAAGTATAAACTATCCTGCAGGAAGTATAAACTATCCTGCAGGAAGTATACACTATCCTGCAGAAAGTATAAACTATCCTGCAGGAAGTATACAGTTTCCTTTTCTTTCAGGAAGCACATGTATTGGTCATTAGCACATCTTGGTACCTGCATTGTATTAATATTAAACCCTGTTGTAATAAGCACATCATGTGCTGACTTATACGCTTTAGTGCTCTTACTGAAATAAATAATATTACCATTAAAAATCTGGCACTTTTATCCCTTTCCCATGTGTATTTATTTATAAACAATAATTGACAGCCTTACACACAAGAAAAAAGGATCAGAATCAAAATCTGTAATCCTACCGGAATTGAGACTTTTTAGTGGAATTGGAATTGGAATCATTAAAAATGTTAGCATCATCTCATCACTTAAAAATAATGAAATCTTTACTGTCTGTCCCTTAAGTATTTTATTAAAATTTGTAATCGATATGCATTTCTTTAACAATTAATTATACTGTATGAGTATGAATGTCATCACTTTCAGTGATGACATTTTGTCCCAGAATGGAGCATTATGCCACGACTTGAAAAGGTTCCAGGATGGGGCAAAACAAGGTGTTGCATAACACCAAAACATCATCACTTTCATTAATTTCAAATAGTCATCAAAATGTGCTTTTGGGGCTGAGCTTCGGCCCTTTGGTTTTGGCACTGTACTGTGGGAGTTGGGTTATTAATTTTCATTCACATTATTTGGCTTACAATTTTTTTTACTTTTATTTTTTATTTCTATTATTATTATTTGACATTATTTTACAGTCTCCATGGTGTAGTGGTAAGACTCCTGGGTTCATATCCTGGCCGGGGAGGATTTACTGGGCGCAAATCCTTAACTGTAGCCTCTGTTTAACCCAACAGTACAATGGGTACCTGTTTGTTAAAACAATTGTTCGAGGGGGGTCGTATTCCAGGGAACATAGGATTAAGGACTTGCCCAAAACATTACGTGTACTAGTGGCTGTACAATAATAACAACTCTTGTGTATTATATATATACATATATATCTACTGTATATATATATGTCGTACCTAGTAGCCAGAATGCAATTCTCAGCCTACTATGCAAGGCCCGATTTGCCTAATAAGCCAAGTTTTCCTGAATTAATATATTTTCTCTAATTTTTTTCTTATGAAATGATAAAGCTACCCATTTCATTATGTATGAGGTCAATTTTTTTTATTGGAGTTAAAATTGACGTAGATCTATGACCGAACCTAACCAACCCTACCTAACCTAACCTAACCTATCTTTATAGGTTAGGTTAGGTTAGGTAGCATAAAAAGTTAGGTTAGGTTAGGTAGTTGAAAAACAATTAATTCATGAAAACTTGGCCTATTAGGCAAATCGTACCTTGCATAGTAGGCTGAGAAGTGCGTTCTGGCTACTAGGTACGACATATATATATATATATATATCAGCCCGTCCTCCAAAAATGGGGTGGTAAATGTAAGGAGACAAATAAGTGCAATTATGTACTATTCATAGCAGTTAGGAATTGTACTTATTTTCACTTAGTATTAAATCGTACTGTCAAATATATTGTGAATATTTGAGTTTACCCCAAAAACTGAATAGAAAACCACAACCTCACCTAACCGTCTTAATTTTTGAATATATATATATATATATATACACATATACATATACATATACATACACATATACATACATACATACACACACACACACACATATCATACCTAGTAGACAGAACGCACTTCTTGGCCTACTATGCAAGGCCCGATTTGCCTAACAGGCCGAGTGATATTCTTTATTTGCAATAAATTGCATCCAATTAGTTTATTTGAATTATTATTATTATACTATATTAAGAACATAAATTATTGACTTAGTTGTGTCAGTTTAGGTTAGGTTAGGTAGGGTAGGTTAGGTTCGATCATATATCTACGTTAGTTTTAACTCAAATTTAAGAAAAATAACTCATACATAATGAAATGGATAGCTTTATCATTTCATAAGAAAAAAATTTGCAAAATACATAAATTCAGGAAAACATGGCTTATTAGGCAAATAGGGTCTTGCATAGTAGACCGAGTACCGTGTTCTGGCTACTAGGTACAACATACATACATATTATATATATATATACTGTATATTATATATATATATATATATATATATATATATATATATATATATATATATATATATTATTTTTATTCTCTGCAATATTGATATTTAGTTGTGTGTAAAAGCAAAACAAAAATACATAAAATAAAATAGTTGTTTAATCCCATTTTACCTTACAGATTACATGTCGCAAACTGGTTGTATAAAATGTTGACTGCAATGTTTATATTCAGTATACATAATACTGACTGTGCAAGGTCCAACTTCAGTACACAATGTTGACTATGCACCATTTAAATGCAGAACTGTATATAATGGTGACTGCACAGTTCAACTCCACTATATATAATGGTGACTGCACAGCTCAAGTCCACAATATATATATATATATAATGGTGACTGCACAACTTGACTCCACTATATATAATGGTGACTGCACAGCTCAACTTCACTATACATGATGGTGACTGCATAACTCCATTCCACTATACATAATGGTGACTGCACAGCTCAACTTCACTATATATACATTAAACAGAAAACCGGAAATGCTGATCCAAAACGTAAATAATTGTTGATTGCACTTTTATATATAAAATATAATCTCATTAGTGAGATCTAGGACTGATTATTTTCAAGACTGTTATATTAAAATATAAAATATTTTCTGGATATATAAATTTTAAATTATTGCAAATGTAATCCTTTGAAATTTAATAAAATTCCTATACTTTCTTAGGTGATATTAAGTGATGTTTAGACAAGATGACACAGTTTGAGAAAAAAAACTCACTTTCATTTGAAAATGTTTTTTTATGGAATTAAGTACCAATATATTAATAGTTAACTCAAAATTGATGAGCAAAATCCTGAGCTTGCAGCTTGGGTTGAGTACAGTAAATCTGGACTTTTTAAACAAATTTAAAACTCATTTTAATAATCATAATTTTTAAAATGTACAATTTACATTATATTTAAGGATCATATTTGATATAAATCATACAATTAAAAAGAAAATACAAATGAAATCAGCCTTTATAAAATACTTTTTTATAATATTAAAGACAAACAATTTCACCTTTCTAAAGTACTCCTTACTGGAGAACTATTAATCTGGAGACAGGAAAATGTCTAGAAAACATTAATTATTATTATTTACAATAATTTGTACCACAATGTAAAACTATGAGCTATGTTACTGATGGCATTAGGAAGTGCCCTACATGATGCGCTGATTCTCACAGTACAAGAACTAAAGTTAAGACGAGTTTCTTTAAATGAAAACATTTTCACACTTAAGGTATGTGGGCTGAGCACTTCTGCACGTGATGTATAAAACAGGCTCTCAACCTGGACTACTTCATACTCTTGGTGCTCTCCCTAGTATTTATACATTTCAAAGTTGCTTTAGTGACCTCAAACATGTACATACTAGAACAACCTTGATACAAATAAAAAATACAGAAAGCATCAAAGGTACGCATTCGCCCAGACTAAAAACCCCCTCGTGTAGCTGAACTCAATAACCAAACATGGGCTCGTGCAGAAAACATCAGCACTTGCGGTGGATATGGACAAAGCCCTCACATATGCTGCATGTGGATGACAACATGTTTAATGGAGGACATCCACATTTATGGGAATATAGGCACCACTCACTCAGTACATAAACCAACCACACATTCCAATTCACACAATGAGTGAGTGAATGAATGATGAGGGAGGACGACAAAAGAAGGAGAAAGAGAATTAGAATAAGACTGAAAGAAAGAGAGAATTAACGAAAGAGAAAATGTATGAAAGTGTGTGTGCGTGTGTGTGTGTGTACACTGATGACCAAAAAAAAAATCAAGGTCTTTATATTGAATTCTGAACACCCACGCTGCATATGCACAACACCCACATTCAAATTAGCCAAACATTCAAACATATCACACATGATACACCCTCACTTAAAACACATGATATATAAATTTATTAAACATTTGCGTATGTGGTGAATAGTGGGAATGAGCCACAAACATGATATATAAAGACTCATCATTTACACATACATACACATTGTATTTATATCAAACATCCATCCACATGAAGTACATAAACTTGGCTGTCATGTCATGACTTATGAAGACTGAATGCAAGCACCTATGATGTATGCTGAATGAGCAGCCTCACATATGGTGTTTATGAGGCTGTACTCAACATCAGCCTCACATGTGGTTTATATGTATTCAACATCAGCCTCATATGTGTATATGTACTCAACATAGCTTCACATGTGGTGTATATGTACTCAACATCAGCCACATATGTGTATATGTACTCTACTTAGCTTCACATGTGGTGTGTATGTACTCAACATCAGCCTCACACATGGTGTGTATGTAATCAACAGCAGCCTCACATGTAATGTATATATACTAAACATCCACACACACACACACTGTGTACAGTATTTACACTGAATAATCACATATGGTGTACATGGAGTGAACACCACACTCATGGCATACATGAACATCTACACATGTGGCTTGATGACAATACTCAGAATTTGGGCTGAACATGCATCATTGTATATGTGAACCACACATCAAATGAGTAACATACGATACCCGTCTCACTAGCAAACAAAGAAAACTGGAACCAGAGCTTCTACCCCTGCAATAAGGGTCCTACCTAACAGTCACAAAACTAGGTCAAAAAGAGGTATATAAAAATTGACTGGTAACCACTGACATGATCAGTGGGAGGGTAAGTTACTGACATAATAAGTGTTGAAAGTAGACACGGTATTCTTAGTATATTCTTAGTATCGTTCCAATCTTAATTGGAAATTAATCGTATAACCACAAATTGGATATGAGGAGGTCAAAAGTTATTGATAAGTTTACCCGAAGAGGTTGAAGAGGTTCTTATTATAGCACAAAAGCACAGGTTCTAACTCTACTGCCTTGTGAATTATTTATTATTTGACCACAGAACCCCTACTTGTCATCTTTACACAAGCTTTATGGGCATTTAGTGAAGGGCTTGAATGCCCATATTCAAGCCATACACATAAAATGTAACATGTATGTAGAGCACACACACACACACACACAGTGTATGTGGAGGGAGTACACAACCTGCATATTGGGTAAAAACCTGAACATGTGAGTGGTATAAATACCCCTAAGCAAAACACTTACAGTCTGAAAATAAACACACACGGCATCTGTGAACTTAATATCTAAACCTATGCCATATATGCACTGAAACACACACAGGCATAACATGCCCACACGCGCACACACACACAACATGCACACATACACAACATGCACACATATAAAACATGCACAAACAAGCACAACATGCACACATAAAACATGCACATACGCACAACGTGCACACACAGGTGTACACACACATGGTGTCCCAACACTCAATGTAGATCTGGTGTAAATGGAATTAACATTTTCACCTATGAACTGAACTACACAAATTGTCTACATACCAGCTATAAACTGTGTGTACCTTGAACATTCCTTTAACAAGACAGTATATGCATTGTATATACTCTATTGTTAAAACTGTATAACATACAGTTTTAATATGCAGGATACTGGTTAATTACTAATGCACTGTACTGTACTTCAACAACAAAATCATTTTGGTAAAAAAAAAAAGTAACATATGCACATAGGTATACATCTAAGAAAGTATGTGTGAATTGTATACAGATGCCTGTGTTTGATGTGCACACTCATCAAACATACTGATTCTCAGAGTGAACTATTCTGGTTAATGTATCAAATGAAATAAAAAACTGTCTTATACAGTGCCTTGCAAAGTCCCTTGTAAGAGTGACCTTCCAGGTGCCAGATGGGAGACAGATGAATCAAATTATACAAAATTAAACAATAGACATGTTGCCAGGAGAAAAAGATACTGAACATAAGATTCTCGTATGTTTTAATTTTATATTCACGAGGCGCTTCAATCAAGGCCACAACATAATTAAGTTTATTTATTTTTAATACATAAAAATAGAGAACAGACACTAAACAGATCATAGAAACATTTTATAATAGACAACAAAAATCTGGCAAAAAAAAATAAAAAAAAAAAATAAAAAAAATATCAGTATTCCGATGCTTCATCATGAGTGGTTAATTCTTACGCTTGTGTCTACTTGAAGGATGCTTTTCATAATCCCGTTCATATTCACGCTCATAATCGCACTCTCGATGGTCTTTCCCACGACTTTCATTCATGTATCGATCATGATACTCTTCACTATCAGCCTGAAAATGAAAACAATATTACAGCCCACCTACAGTATAAATTATGAACACGAAATGTTTTATAAATATCCACAGAGGAAAGATAAATATCCACAAAAAATGTTTTATAAATATCCATGTTTCGTCGGCAGACACAACACTGGTGCTAGGCACCGAAAGGCAGAGAAAGGAAGAGGAAGAAGTGGGTGGAAGAGGTGAAGAAGAAAGGGGAGGAGGGACGAGGGAGAGGAATGAGGAGTAGGAGGAGCATCAATTAAGAGGATAGGATGGATAAGGAGAGAAGGAAGAAGATAGGAGAATGGACAAGGAGGAAGAGGAGTTAACAGAAATATTGTATGATGAAATCACTACTGTAATAAAGGTGATGCAGTAGCATGCATACCTCCATATTCCCCATGCAATATGTTTTTCTGTGCACAACCATAACTTCACCCAGTCATATATATATATATATATAGTGGAACCTCGAGTGACGAGTGGCTCCAGTTATGAGCATTTCAAGTTACGAGCAAGCCACTCGCAGAAAATATGTCTCGAGTGACGAGCTTTCCCTCGATTGACAGCGTTTCGCTGGTTATCGGACACCTCTGACGACAGTGTTGTTGTTGTTTCACAAGACGAGTTTTCCACAGGACGAGATTGGTGCCAGAATGGATTAAACTCGTTAATCGAGGCGCCACTGTATACCTGAACATATGTACACACACACACAGAGGGGGGGAGGGGGGCTGTGGATCAGCGGACAGTGCTTCGGACTCATAATCCTAGAGTCTGGGTTCGATCCTTGGCGATGGCGGAAAACAAATTTTCTTTCACTCTGATGCTCCTGTTCACCTAGTAGTAAATAGGTACCTGGGAGTTAGACAGCTGTTACGGGCTGCTTCCTGGGTGCAATTACCTAAGTGTAGTTACATGATGAGAGCTATGCTTGTGGTCTCCCGTCTTCCCAGCACTCTGTCATATAACGCTTTGAAGCTACTGACTGTTTTGGCCTCCACCACCACCTCACCTAACTTGTTCCAACCATCTTCCACTCTGTTTGCAAAAGTGAATTTTCTTATACAGTATTTCTTTGGCATCTTTGTTTAGTTAGTTTAAATCTATGACCTCTTGTTCTCGAAGTTCCAAGTCTCAGGAAATCTTCCCTATCAATTTTATCAATTCCTGTTACTATCTTGTATGTAGTGATCATATCTCCTCTTTTTCTTCCATCTTTTAGTTTTTGCATACAGTATTTATTACCTCTACCTCTCCTCATAGCTCTTGCCCTTCAGTTTTGGGAGCCACTAAGTAGCATGTCTTTGCACCTTTACCAGTTTGTTGATGTGCTTCTTAAGATATGGGCACCATACAACCGCTGCATATTCTAGTTTTTGCCTAACAAAAGTCGTGAACAATTTCTTTAATATTTCGCCATCCATGTACAGTGGGGCCTCCACTTAAAATGGTAATCCGTTCCCAGAGATGTATCGTAAGTCAAAGCAAATTTTCCCATAAGAAATAATGGGAATTAAATTAATCCATTCCACACTCCCTCAAAAATTAACATCAAAGTAAATTTTATACCTAATTCACCCAAATCTTTAGTACTAAAGTATGTACAAGTTATTCCTTACATTTATTGATGACTCTTGTTGGCTTATGGAAGACTGTGAGGAGGAGGGAGAGGTGTTAGTGTTTGGAAGGTGAGTCCCCTTCCATTATAGCATCAGGCAGCAATTTTTTTTGTTTTTCAATTTTTTTTAATTGTTTTTATTTTTTAAATTTGTTATAGAAAATGGAGCAGCCTACTTGACATCCACTGAACAAACCACTTAAAACATTTTATATTTTTTCAAATTTTTCCTTTTTTTGTTGTTGTAGAAAATGGAGCAGCCTACTTGACATCAACTGAATGAACCTTTTAGACTTTTTTTTTCAAATTTGTTCAATATTTGTCTGTAGTGATGTATCACAGTGTCATTGAAAAGGTTAAGGCAACGGCCTACTGCAGCTTGATTTGGGTGAGTCGTTTCAGCAAATGTTTGCAGGGCTGCACACATTTTCATAATAAATGAGGAAGGGACATACTCTACATCAACAACCCTCATACCATTTTCATGTTTACGAATGATCTCTTGTTTTTCCTCTATGGTCATCCTTACCGGTGTTTTTATATGGTGAACCATACCACTGACTTTCTTGGGACCCATGGCTTGATGTATAATAATCAGTTTTATGTTCAAAAAACAAAAAATCATCAAAATAATGGAATTTCTTATAAACGTGATCATCACTAATCGGGTGGTTCTGATAAACTGAGGCAGCTTGGCCTGTGCAACCAGGAACCATGTGCTCGGTTGACCCGAACGCGTATCAACGAATATCGATAGTTAACGACACTATCGTAAGTCAAGTTGCATTTTCTGATCAAATTAATACTGTAACTCAAAATTATTTTAAGTCAGGGCAATCGTAAGTTGAGGTGTCACTGTATTTAAAAGCAATTCTTAAGTTAGAAAGCGTGGCAAAGGCTCCTCGCACAACGTTCTTTATGTGGACTTCAGGTTATAGTTTTTTATCTAGAACCACCCCTAGATCTCTTTCTTTATCAGAAGTCTTTAAAGATTTTCCACATAATTTGTAGGTTGTGTGAAGTCTATGTTCTCCTCTTCCACATTCCATAATATGGCCTTTATTTACATTAAATTCCATTTGCCAAGTGGAGCTCCATATACTGTACTTATTTTGTCCAGGTCTTCTTGAAGGGCATTACGATTATCTAAGTTACTTATCCTTCCTATTATCTTAGCATCATCAGCAAACATGTTCATATAATTCTGTATTCCATCTGGCAGATCGTTTATGTAGACAAAGAACACTACCGGTGAAAGAACTGAACCCTGTGGTACTCCGCTTTTGACATTTCTCCAATCTGATACATTGCCTCTGATTACTGCCCTCATTTTTCTATCAGAAATTTTTTCATCCATGTTAGAAGCTTACCTGTTACCCCTCCAGTATGTTCCAGTTTCCAGAACAACCTCTTATGTGGAACTCTGTTGAAAGCCTTTTTTAGGTCCAGATAGATGCAGTCAACCCAACCATCTCTTTCCTGTAAAATCTCTGTGGCTTGATCATAAAAATTGAGTAAATTCGATACACAGGATCTTCCAGATCAAAAACCATACTGTCTGATATTATATCATTTTTCTCTAGGTGTTCCACCCATTTAGTTTTAATTATTTTTTCCAATGTTTTGACTATTACACTTGTCAATGATACAGGTCTATAACTGAGGGGATCTTCCCTTCTGCCACTTTTGTAGATTGAAACTATGTTAGCCTTTTTCCACACATCTGCTATGACTCCTGTGCACAGGAATGCCTGAAAAATCAGCTGAAGTGGAATGCTGAGCTCAGGTGCACATTCTCTCAGAACCCATTGTGAAACTCCATCTGGGCCAACTGCTTTGTTCTTACTTAGCTCCTTGAGCATTTTTTCACTTTGTCTCTAGACACCTCTATGTGCTCTATGTTGTTCTACACACACACACACACACATTTACTTTACTCAGTTTCTATGATCGAGCCACAGAGATTTTACAGGAAAGAGATGCTTGGGTTGACTGCATCTATCTGGACCTAAAAAAGGCTTTCGACAGAGTTCCACATAAGAGGGTGTTCTGGAAACTGGAACATATTGGAGGAGTGACAGGTAAGCTTCTAACATGGATGAAAAATTTCCTAACTGATAGAAAAATGAGGGCCGTAATCAGAGGCAATGTATCGGATTGGAGGAATGTCACAAGTGAAGTACCACAGGGTTCAGTTTTTGCACCAGTAATGCTCATTGTCTACATAAATGATATACGAGATGGAATACAGAATTATATGGACATGTTTGCTGATGATGGTAAGATAATAGGGGAAGATAAGAAACCTGGATGATTGTCATTCCCTTCAAGAAGACCTGAATAAAATAAGTACGTATATGGAGCACCACTTGGCAACTGGAATTTAATGTGAATATATGCCATGTTATGGAATGTGGAATTGGAGAACATAGACCCCCCACACAACCTATAAATTATGTGAGAAATCTTTAAAGAATTCTGACAAAGAAAGGGATCTAGGGGTGGTTCTAGATAGAAGAGTGTCACCTGAGGACCACATTAAGAACATTGTCGAGGAGCCTATGCTATACTTTCTAACTTCAGAATTACTTTTAAATACATGGATGGAGAAATACTAAAGAAATTGTTCATGTCTTTTGTTAGACCAAAGCTGGAATATGCAGCGGTTGTGTGGTGCCCATATCTTAAGAAGCACATCAATAAACTGGAAAAGGTGCAAAGACAAGCCACTAAGTAGCTCCCAGAACTGAAGGACAAGAGCTACGAGGAGAGGCTAGAGGCATTAAATATGCAAAAACTAGAAGATAGAAGAGAAAGAGCCGATATGATCACTACGTACAAAATAGTAACAGGAATCAATAAAATTGATAGGGAAGAATTCCCGAGACCCGGAATTTCAAGAACAAGAGGTCTAACGAAACAAGCTACCGGAGAAATATAAGAAAATTCACTTTTGTAAACAGAGTGACGGTTGGAACACGTTAGGTGAGAAGGTGGTGGAGGCCAAAACCGTCAGTAATTTCAAAGCGTTATATGACAAAGAGTGCTGGGAAGACGGGACACCACGAGCGTAGCTCTCATCCTGTAACTACACTTAAGTAATTACACTCTATTTCCAAACTGACTCATTCTTAAAAACATTAATTTATTATAACAACATAAATTAATGACTTGGTTACGTTAGGTTTGTTCAACTTAGATGTTAGTTCTGATAAAATTTGTTTTATATTTCATGAAAATTTGACTTGTTAGGCAACTCGGGTTATTATGTATAGCTCACAATACACAATTAGATTTTTTATGTTGAATAATAAATAAGGACTTCATTCTGACACCAAATTTATAGTTCTAACCTAAAAACTGAGAAAACAACAAAAACTAACTAAACGTACTTATGAGCTCGTTAATCTGGACCCCTGTTAATCATGCCAATCCTTAACTGTATGCCTCTGTTTATCCAGCAGTGATTGGGCACCCATCTGTTAAATTGATGACAGGTCGTATTCCAGGGAAACTTGTGGGTTTGGCTTACCATTAGTTATGGGACGATAAAGCTCTCAGCCTTTTGTAATAACAGATATTTGGGTTATGAGGAATTTGGCTGGTTATTGAATGCCACCAGGAAACTTGTGCTTTCCAAAATGCCAAGGACACTCCCAGCCAGTCACTCATTATTGATATAATTATTATTATTGTGTAACCAGCTTATAAAAACTAAGTTGCTTAGCTAAATAAATGAACTAAACCACAACTAAGGGGCCTCTTGGGTCACATCAGATTAATCCCATATGGAAGTCGATGGAGGCATAGGGTGGAAGGTGTCAGGCTAGGGGGTGTGTGGGTTAAGAGGCATGTGGACACACCTATGATCGTAACACAAAATTTGTAATAAAAACAATTCACTACATTAGAAAATAAAAAAAAATCTAATTTAGTAGGGAAAACATTCAATGTACAAAATGTAAACACAGTTTTTAAGAAATTATTTATAATACTGTATTTGATATAATACCTGTATACTGTATTAATTATTATTATTATTATTATTATTATTATAAAATAATAATAATGAATTTAGGATAAAAACTCACACATCTATATTTGTGAAATTTATGTAAAGAAATTACACCAAGTCTTTTGCAGTCTTCTGAGGTCTCTGTCAAAATCCGAGTGTGTGGTTAGGATGAGACTTACATCTCAACATCTTGATTAGTTGTTGAGATGTATGTCTTATCCTAACCACATATTCAGACCTTGACAAAGCACTCAAGAGTGCGAAAGACTTGGTGTAACTTCTTTACATAAATTTCACATATACTCAAGTGTGGGTTTTTATCCTATGATATTATGTCTGTAAAAATACATTATCATTACTTATAATAATGAATTATTATTATATTACTGTACAGTATATCAAATACAGTATTATAATGAATAATTTCTTCAAACTTATGTGCAGGCTGTACAGTGAACTGTATTTCCCTGCTAAAATAGGGGATTTTTTTTTTTTTTTGTCTAGCAGTGTACGTATTATGACCCCAAGTGAACCCATCTAGGCCTGGTCAATATACTCAGTCATGTGCTCTCTTTCATTTTGTGTGATACCACAGTGCCGCACTTTAAATTTTCTTAATTTTTTTTGTTTTATAGTAAATTTGATTATTTTTCATCAAGACAATGTCTAGTAGCAGCAGCAATTGTCCTGGTGTTAAAAGGAACCAAGTTCAGCCATCCATTAAAGATAAGTTATGTGTGATTGAAATTTGTTAAAGTGGATGGTCTGTTGTCAGCTTTACCAAGGAATTTGGTACAGGCAGGAGTATAGTACTGTCTATGATATAAGGAAATGTAAAGATGACTACATGAAATACATAGCTATAGTGAGAGTGAGGGGGGTCACGAGACACATCTCCCGTCACGCAGGGTGCAGTCGCACCTCCACAGATCTCCAGTATCAGCTCTTGATACTGATAATGGCTCAAAAGGGCCACCACTTACAGGGCTATTCATGCCCGTGCCACCTTTTGGGTGGCTTAATCTTCATCAATCAATCAATCGAGTGAGGGAGCAAGCACTAGTAGAGGGTGTAACAGAAAAACTTTAAAGTCTGCACAGAACACATAGTTGGATGAGGTTGTGTATAAATGGTTTGCAAAGCACTGCACCGTGGATGTGACAGTTAAGAAATAAGGAATACTACAAACAGGTTTGCAGCCAGCCTTGGAATATCTAATTTCAGGGCAAATGATGGCTGGATTTCCAGATATAAAGCGAGGAACAACATTGTGAAACGGAAAATTGTCAGTGAAAATGGGTGCAGATACGAGTTGAGTCTTTTAAACATACAGAACATACATTTTGTCTAATCATTTATATCACTATCAAATCTATAATGGTGATGTAACAGGTGTGTGTATTGGAGGAGTTTCCCTGAAAAAACTCTAGCTATAAGGAGTGAGGTCAAGGCATAAAGTGAACAAGGACAGGTTATCAGCCATCATGGAAGCCATTCATAACTGGGCCAAAGCATGAGTGAAGTCAACCAATTGACTTTGAAGAATTCAGGGAAGAAATCCTCAAAGCTACAGTAAATGAGGAGGAGGAGGAAGATGTAAGATTTGAAGGATTTATAGAAGAAATCCATGGAATTTGTTGAAATGCTGGTGAAAATTTAGGGAAACAAGATGTGGTTGAATGGCTAGAAGGAGATGCTAATAACCAAGGATATGGTGTGGTGAGTAAAGAAATGTTCCAGTCCATCACTGGTGAGGTGGATGAGAAGGGGGATGAAAACGATGGTGATGAAGAAGCAACACCACAGACAACTAAATACAGTTTACTCACATCTTCTGTTGATATACTAATTCATTTTTCACCCAACTGTGCTAATCCAGAAGTTGGAAATATGTATCAGTACTTTTGGTAAACCAAAGAGCTGATCATAAGAGGCCAATAAACACAGGAGGCAAGCAAAACTAGATTCTTATTTGGTAAGAACAGCAAGCCAAGGACCTTCAACCAGCAAAGCCTTACAAGCCAAGGGAATTCAACCAGTGAAGCCTCACAAACAAGCCAAGACCATCAACCAGCAAAACCTCACCAGAAAGTCAAGAGCCTTCAATTAGTGATTCTTCAGCAACTGGCAGGCAAAACTGATCTTAGCAAGCTTACATACAGTACTCTAATTTTAGTGTTGTGTTAGCTAAATGAACATTCTCAAGCTGTTCATCTATAAGTAGATGACTTTCAACTAGGTAAGCTGAAATTTCTGTTGTCCTCCCTTAACTATGTACTGTATATTGTGCGTGGAAATATAAATTATGTTGGTCGTGGTTCAAAAAATTGCAAATTTGTTCATTTTTAGGACTTTCCTGTAAGAATTCCTGCTAATCCGGATGTCCGGCTAACTAAGAGTGTGGTGGGCCCCATATGATCCGGATTAACAAGAGCAGACAGTGTAAACATTTTAGGAATCGCTGAGCAGGACCTTGAGATGCCTGGAACATCTACGGCCGGATACTCGCTGATGGGGCAGAAAGCCAGAGTGTTAACAAAATACTATGTCATCCAATATGACAGCCTTTTACACAACACAAATTTACTTACAATCAAGGGTCTATTCTCTATATACAAATAATATTGAACAAAAATCATAATACAAATAGAATAGTTTTAAATTAATTCTACTACAGTACTTTCATTTAAAGGCTTGCTTCATTGATAAAACACAATCATGAAATTTTACACTGCCATCTAACTTCCTTACAAATATGAGACTTACCCGATGCTGCTGGTGTCTGTGTTTGTGATCATCATCAGACCGCCCATTGGACTTTAATCTCTCATCATTACCCTTTTTTCGTTTCAAATCACCATCTGCTGCTTCGTCTGAAGAACGATCCTGTAAACATCAAGCAAAATGGCTTGCAACCTGTCCTCCAAAAATAATAGTACTGTACCTACAGATACTATCAATAAAATGTACAAAACATATACTGTTGCATGCAAGAAGTCCATGTTTTGCAATATTAATTTTTCAAGGCATAACAAAAGGAAACATCTATCTGTAGTCACTAAGTCAATGATGTAAAGAATCTTGTGTCGTAATCCTGTTGTTTCTTACTTGCCTCCCACTTATTTTTTTTTTCACAGCAATGGAAGGTCTAGCTTTCTCAGCCTTTCCACCTATCTTAGTTCAGAGTCCAGTCTAGTGGCAAACCTTTAGACTTACTATAGTTTAGCCTGTTGCTTTATATGTAAGGATTGCATACAGTTACCACACATTATAGTAGGCACCCATCAGTCTCAAGAGACTATGGAGTTGCGCTCTGGTTGCCGGTCTGGAGTGGCCTCTCCAGGGTGCAAAGCCAGGGTAGGTTGATACGGGGAAGAAGCTGTCATCTCCTCACTAACCAGTTGGACTGGTTGACCAGTCCAGCAACGAGGATGCCTGGTCGACAACCGAGCCACGGGGTTGCTAAGCCCCGAAATCACCTCCAGGTAACCTCAAGGTAACCCATGCAGCAGGTTCCCCCCCCCCTCTCCACGGCGCCGAAAGTCTCCAATGGAAAGACAAACGCCAATATGACTGGTTTCAGCACCGTTGCAGGAACTGTCAGAAAGAGGTTGAAGGCAACAACGAACTGCTCTAGGGAGCTCCAGTTCTGGAGCTTACCTCGAGGTTGGTGAAAGAAGGCACAGAGACCACCGTGGTTGGGGCCGGAGAAGAACCACCCCAGCAAGGGCAAGAACGACCCCAGCCTCCTGAAGCAGAGCATGGGTCGCACGAGCCCCAGGAGGTGGACTTCCGAGCCCCAAACCTACGGGTTCCAGACAAAGATCGTCACTGTCCCCTTTCACCCGAGGCCGGCTTCCTTCAAGACCAAGCAGAAGGAAGGGTAATAATTATTAATTACAATAATCACTATTATAATTATTATTATAATAAAAATATAATCAATAATTATTACTCTTCCTTCTGCTTGGTCTTGAAGAAAGCTGGCCTCGGGTGAAAGGGGACTGTGACAATTTTCGTCTGGAACACATTATAGGATTAGTCTAATGTAGGTAGCATTCAATGACCTGAGAGCTTCCTTGTACAGGTGCCTGAAGGCTACATATTAGCCTTCAGTGATAGACTTGTATCAACTCCCCGATCTTTTTCCAGATTCCGAGAATTTGCATTCTCATGATCTTATACTTTCCATGTTGTTTCCATATCCCTGTCAACAGTCTCATCACCCTGCATTTTCATCTTGTCAATTTTACACCAACAACAAATATTGACATATAAGATTCTACATTATTAGTTAAGTCAATGACGTGTATACAACACGACATGAGTCCTAGTAGTGATCCCTGTGGTCCACCAGTTGTTACTTGGCTTCATCCTGATCTCTCCAATCTCAATATTACCTATTGCTTCTCTGCTGGATAAGTATTCCCTTGACCAGTTCAACCCACTAATATTTGCTCCTGCAGTAGCCTCCTGTGTTTGTCTGACAACTTTGGTCAATCCAATGGTCAAACTCAAAAAGAATGTCTGTTCTAAGTGTTCCACTTTACCTCAAAATAAGTTTATATTGAAGCTTCAGGATACTTGGGTCAAAAATTCTGTCCTGTAGTTTATATATAGGTGTGACATTAGCAGTCTATTAACTGTCTAGTAGTTTTCCCCACCCAATGAAACACTGAAGATCATTAAAAAAGAGGCTTGCTTAGAGTTTCAGGTACACTCTTTGCAACAATAGCAAGATTTGATTTAGTGCTATGGCTCTTAGCACATCCGGGTTGTCAAACTACTTTACCTCATCTACTGTAACTTTCATGCTGCTTAGTCTCTCACATACCAGTTATCAGTAAAAAACTTGGGGGGATGAGAGAGAGAGACTTCGCAAAGTTAGGTTAAAATACCTAGTGTGCAGTTTCTAAGACCAAGACGTAAGACGATGAAAAAAGTAGAAAGAAAATATGATGCATAAACTTGAAATAAAGCTAAAAAAAGAAGGGGAAGATGTGAAGGACCATGGTGAAGGCCTAATAAGATCAAGGGAAGCAAACCAGGCAACATGGGGACCATGTAATGCAAATTAAGATCAAGGCGAGAAAGTAGAAGAAAACAAATGAAGGCCCCATGAAGGAAATAAAGAAGAAATTAGATGAGTTCAAAAGTGATAAGGTGGTGATAAAGACAAAAGGTGGAGGAGGAGGGATGAAGTTGGAAATAGTAACAATGAAGGAGGCAATTACAGAAAAAAAAAAAAGATATCTGAATTATAAATAACTATAGAGAAACAGAAAATGGAAATGAGTATGAGTAACAAACTTCTAGCAGACATCATAGATGAAGGAAATGGACTGAAGTTAATAAACCAACACAGGGAAGTGTGGCAGTGAGCTTAACTTCTGCAGTGCACAGTCATCTTACATATCAACTACCCTGGTGCACAAGAAAAAAAACCAGCGTTGAATGTAATGAAACGCCAGTTTAAAGGGTGAGCCAACGGGGATCCCTGAAGCTATCCAGACTGATACAGTATAGTGCTATGCTAGTTGGGGTCATCAGTCACAGAGTTCTTGTTGCCTACTGGGAACCAGAGTCAGAACCTGGCCCTCTCAGAGAGGCGTAGAAAACATTGGCCTATAAGCACTTTACACTTAAAGTATGTCATATTTTGACATCTACTGGGGAAGGCACCCAGAAAGGTACACCAATCAAAACAGACCACTGTCTGGTTGAAAATTGTGAGCTACAGCCACAAAATAGCAAAAGAACTCCCCCCCCAGAAAGAAAATAAACAAGCAACACATCATCCAACTAGCAACTCGCCAATTCAGTTCAAGAATAACGAAAGCCACCGACCGAAAGGAGGGAGGGTGTCAAGGAGCCTCCTGGGCTCATCCAGACTCTGGAGTTTCATTACATTCAACACTGGTTTTCTGTAGGGAGCCCTGACAGTTCCCTGAAGCCAACTACCCAAAGAGAAGACAAACAGGGACTTACCAAGAAGGCGGCAGCACCACAGATCTCGGAACGAGGAAGAGACGGACGGCCACGACAGGCTTCCCAAGGCTACATAATGCCGCAAAGGACCTGAACGTATATAAGATACATGGCGGCCAAGACCCTGTTCGACCTCCAAAACTTCCGCACCCGAATATCGCCCCAAGACATATTACCAAAGACAGCCGAATGAGTGGCATACTTCCTAACATCATGGGTGCGAGGGTAGACCACAGGCTAGCTAGACTGAACGACACTGCGGACAACCTGAGAAACACGAACCCTTGAACAGGGAACTAGGGAAACCGGATCAATCCAGAGCGCGTCCATCTACACAGAACCAGTGGCCCCGCAGGCAGCGGCGTAAAGCAGCTACCGGACACAGAACATGATGCATCCTGGGCCTAACCAACCAAGCATCCACAACCAACAGACTCCATTGGAAGCCTGCCATCTCCTTCTTCACCAGAAAAGAAGGAGACAGTTCCAAACAAACAAAATGACCACCAGGACCAGAGAAACAAAACCCCCGGTGCCGGAGAAGAGCAAGAAGCTACCCAACCCGACCCCCAGAGGCCAAACCCAACAAAAACACCTTCTAAAAACAATCCTGAACCAAATGGGGGACCACAAAACAAAGAGAAGAAAGAAAAGAAAGAAGCCAGTCCAATGACCAGGAAGGCTCAAGCGGCGAATGAGCAGGCTGAAGATGAAGGAATACGTGAGAAAGCTTATGAAATGAAGTGGAAGTGACATCCACGCCGAACGCAAGTTGCAGCGGCTCGCCGCATGAGAAGAAGCAACAGTATTTGGAATGAGATGCCAATCCAGAAAAACCCACGAGAGAAAAGAAAAAAAACCCGGTCCGACACCGATGAAATCCGACGAAGAGAAAGAAAATGGCTGAAAGACCGCCAAGAAACTTCATACGCTGAGATGAAGATCACAGGTGGAACACTATCAAAGAAGCCACCTGATCACCATACAATCGCGTGTGTATCGCACAAATGGAGATACACACGCGTCAGAAATGCCAGATACGTAAAGTGGAGAAACAAGTCAAACTAGTGAGGTACTGCACCAGACCGACCTGCTGAAAGAGGCAGAGCCGCGGAAAAACACCCGGGTTTGGACACCGAGCAAGCAGCACCTGAAACCAAGGCTGAGCCGACCACCATGGAGCCAGAAGTACTCTCCCACGAAAGGATTCCAGCCAAGTCAGAACCCGGTGCAACATCTGGACCGAGGGTAAAAGGTACAGGAATCCCCACCTCGATTGGCACCACGGCGATGCGAAGAGGTCCACCTCCGAGCACCCGTACGTCCGTCAAAGCCCATGGAAGGAAGTGGCATCAACTGTCCACACCGTGGAAAAGAGGACTGAAGCGGAACAGGGTGTCTGTCAGGACGTTGCACATACCCTGAACGTGAACAGCATGGGGAGCTAAACCCCGAGAACTCAGCAGAAGAGCTACCCGAAGCAACCAGCCCAAAAGAGCCACAGACCGGAGAGATCCCCCACCTGGTCAAGACAATGAACCACAGGGGGCCAGTCTGAATGGAGCCAGTTCACCGAGCCGCAAGGTGAACTGGCTCCATTTTATTTTTTTACTTTTATCTGTGAACAATAAAACTTACTGTTTTTGCTGTTATTACAGTACACTGTATACACACACTATATATAACTAGTTAAATTTGTATGCATTGTTATGACCGACTAAGTAGTTCTAGTGGGTGTAATAATCTCATAACCAGTGATCCTGGTTAAGCCTAGCCCCCACAAATTTTGCACAAAGTTGTGCAATGACATTGTGGCAAATACAGAGATAGCCTCAGCTGTTACATAGACATATACAGAGGAAAACAATAGTACGAGACCATCTGATCACACTGAGGAC